TATTATATTATGAAATGCTGCATGTCCCACATTATAATCTCCTACAGAAAGAGGCGTGTTTTCATTATGTTGACATGTTGTTTCCTATGGAGACTTCTTTTTTAGGGGGGTAGAAACAGCAGGTTACTGTTGCCCCCTGCTGGTCATATAGGGTGCATGCCCCATATTCTGCAAAGTAATAACATATTAAAAAGAATTTTGCTGCTAAGAAATAAGTGACAAGGTTAAAATATAAATATTCGCCACGTGCTAATGAGACGAATACTGCAAATGATCAGAATCAAATATTTTAAAAAAGCAAACACTACAAAGCAAAATTAGACATGACCTAAGTAAGGAACACAACTTTATTTTGAATTTAGTAATCTTTGGGTTCATCTGGTCACAACACAAAGTCAAACGTACCCCAAATCTTGGCACATGACAAAGAGCCTTTAAAAATCCTGCAGGAATCAAACTCATATTTGAATCCACACGATGGCAGCAACAGCTGCAAAAAGTCAGAGGGAACTACAGTTACGACAGTTACCCACTGAAACTCTGAATTTAACATGTCTAAGCAGGCAGAGAGGAAGTCTCACGCAGCTCTTTGGTTAGTTGGTTTCCTCTCATACCTCGATTTCAAAACAACCAAAGGCTTCGCCTGAAAAACCAGCATCTGCTGAAAGCAGACCCTCTCAACTGCAGCTCACTAACCACAAAAAAAATATAAAAATATATAATATTTTATATTTATAATATATAAGAAAATATAATGTGAACAAACAGTACAGTATTTTGCATTTACTCCAGCCTGACAGGCTAACCACCACACTGTAAAACCAGGAATAAAATACAGGTACCGGCAGAACTAGCAGCTGCTTTTTGAGGAGGAGAGACTGATGCTGTCACTCATACAAGATAATAGCACTGCTTAAGATTGCATCATGTAAAAATTAACTACAGGTATATTATAGTTTGAGGGCTTTGATGCATTACAAAGGAGAAAGAAAGGATGCAGCAGTTGGCAAAGGTGAAAAGAAAAGAAGCATTATGAAACAACAGAAAGGCCACACCCAGCAGTGAACCGGGGCTTGTGGTTAAATGGAATGTAGCAGGAAGTTTGGGTTGTTTTTCAGTATGACAGATTTCCCCGTCATCCCCCACCCAAATCAGAGCAGCAAATAATGATTGTTTTCATTCAAATTCCTGCATCTCTCGATTATTTTTTCAGTTAAGTTGATCAAAATTTTGTTGCAAAAAACATTAAATATCTTAAAATGTCAGAAGGTTAAGTGCTAGATGGAGTTGAGGTCTTGCAATTTTCAAAATAACAGTCTAAGAACAGAAACGTGTTTAATTTACTGCGACAGAAAACAAAAGAAAACAGCAAAAGTCAGTGAATTCTGGTGCCTAATCCATTACTGAATCACTAAGAATACGTGGCTGAATCTTGTTACACCAAAAATAAGTCCCCAGCCAGTACTAACATGGATGTAGATAGTTTCTACTGTCCAGCAGGCAATTTCTCAGCAACAACAGGATTATATGGGCTCTGCTGTGACTAGATAATTGAATTCAGGCATGGCCACAGCGCACTGCATCCAATGATCTCTCTCCCACCAGGGTGATGGGAGGAAAAAATGAATCGTGTTACACTCTGTAGATTCGGTAGCGCAACAATGGTGTTAGTTGACTGGACTTGTAAGTCCTTTTTAGTAATGAAGTTATTTGTCACAACACTTCAGCGGACTTCTTCTTCTTCTTCCGTAAGCCAATGACTTTGCACGTGACTTCTTAGCAACCAAACCTCAAGCAAAGCAGCATTAATAGGTACACTGTGGCACATGCTGCAGCGTCGAAAGTTAACGTTCAGTATGATAAAAATGCTGCATGCTTACTCAGATATGCATTGACTGACATGATGACGGGCACGCTGGTGTCTATAGCATTGAGGGGACGTGCATTGAAATGCATTGTGCTGGGAATTAACCAGCAAAGCTGCATGTTAATCCTGCCCTGACCTTGTGCAGAATGTGTAGAGAACAGTGTCTGTGGGGCTAAAGATAACACCGCTGCCTTTGTGCTGAAGGAGAACAACACTGCTGATGATGCTGCTTTGTGCCGCTGCTCCTGCCCAAGGTCACATGTGTCCTTTTGTCAAGTAACAAGACCCGACAAGGTAGCCCATTGTAAAGTACAGATGATCAGATGTACTGATCTGTCTTTAAACTCTAACTGCATCGTTATGGTGCTTCATAGTTTTATAATGCCTTCACAGATTTACTACAGCATGTAACAGCTACACAGTAGGTGGTTTGCAGTAGTGTAGTAAAGTTTATGGACTAATGCAGCCTGGTGCCAGATAGGCTATGTATCCATTTGCATTATTATTCTACAGTACTGTACAAAAAGTCTCGGGCCACCCTACAATTCAAACGTGCTTCAAACTTGATATTTAAGGCTTTACTGTCATTTCTTTAAGTAATCTTCAGGAATATTTCTCCAGACATTTCGTTGGATACTTGCTGTTTTTCTCTGTCAAGATGATCCCACGCTGCTTCATTAATGTTGAGGTCCAGGTCTGGGGAGGCCAATCCCCGACTGATAGTGTTCCACTTTATGTTTTTCTATCCACATATGCTTTTACTACACTTGCAGTGTGGTTGGAAAGATTTTCAGTCCAGTTCATCAGTCATTTAACCTTCAAGACCATCGCTGTCCTTCAGCTACCAGTTGATGGATCAACTGAAGAGCCAAATGCAACTCTCAAGTTCTGTGTCAGCTCTTTCCTGGATGTTTCCTATTTTCTAAGGACTTTCAGATACCGATCACCTGTTGTGGAAAGTTTTGTAGGTGTGCAACTTCTTTTGTCCTCCACTTGTCCAGTTTCCTCACCATATGCCAAATTTTCTTTGGGAATCAACTTGCTGTTCCAAAAATAAAATTTTATGCCTGTGAATGTGTGTTATTCAACTAAAAAAAATGGGAACAAATTATGTTTTTTTGTGTGACTGTTTGCAGTAACAAAGTGGCTAAAGATACTAAATTTAAAATTGGTTCGTTGCCAAGTTGTCTGTTATGTGCAGACTCTACAGTGGTTCAGCCCTTGAGTTAGATGCCTTTTATATATATACTTGATTGAGTTGTATGTCAGTGTTAAATGGCTGAACAAACAACAAGAAAGGGTACAAAAACTGAACTGAATTGGACTCATTGGAAACAGCAGCTTATAGTCACTTATCCTAGAAACATTACAAGAAAGTCTGGCTCCTTGGAAGCAAAATATAAAGAAATGAGGGGTGGCTCAGTAGTTCTGCACAGTCAACGGTAGCAGTCACCAATTTTTGGTTTAAGCTGGTCTTTTGAAAATTTAAACATTATGGTTTTAAACTGGCTAAATGTCTATGGATAGGGTTTGGGAAGCATAATCACAGCATCATAGTATGTTAGCCGATGTAACATCTGCAGTGCAGAAACCCCAAAGCCAGGACCACTGCTCCACTGGAGCTCCCAATACAAATAAATATGGGGGTTATTTTGACATGAGTCAAATTTTCCACTGCTCCGTCACACTGAATCCAATACAAAGTTTACTCAAGACATTAAAACGTCTTAATGGACAACAAAATCATTTTTCTTTGTCTTTGCAAAAGTGCCAACTGTTCAGAATTTAACATCTTTAAGCCATTTTATTGTCAAATTGTTAAAGTAATGCTAGTAACAATTAACTGTACATGTCCAAGGATTCCCACTGGCCTCTCCTCATTTGTTAGTGCCCCTATCTGGCTTATCGTACTTAAAACAGACCGTTTTACACAATGAAAATGCTGATTCTGTTTTCATAAAGACTTTTTTTTAAAACTCAACAGGGCACCTTAAACACTGAAGTGCTCCAGTAGTAATGGCCAGCAGATAACTGTTGACTGAGCAGCTTTAAGGTGTGAACGTTGACCAGTGTGATGTAGTAAAATTGCCTAAAGGAGCACTTCAGCTCAGGTGACCTGCTACTGGTTAAACGAAAGGCCTTAAAAAGTCATCTGTTGCACTTTTATTGCTAGAGCGAACTGAAAGGCAGCGGGCATTGGGTTACATTTGGTTGCAGAGACACAAATTGCCAATTTAAGACAAAATGAAATGTTGCCGTCAGAAAATATCCATCATGCTTTAAAAATAAAAGAGAGCTTGATTCACAGAAGAGGTTATTCTGTCCCAGCGAATGGCTTTTTTGATTACATTTCAGACTTGGCAGGCAAAGTAAAGTCATAAAAACTCAGAAAACCTGTGATTTTTTTCTATTGCTGCTTGGGTAATTATTAAACATCTCAGTTCACTCGCACACTAATAGGCAAACCCATAACAAATGTTTACATATGCTAAATGTGGAACATGTGATTTACCTCTCAGTGTGAAAACTGTTTAATCCTTCAAACTTCAAAGGGAACCCCAACACCTCCCTCTCTCACACCATGTTCTTATTTACAGATGGTGCACATATTTAACATCTTCAAAAAAAAATTCACACAACAAATTCCCTGCAAAGGAACCATCTGTACCTTATCAAACAGAAGGAAAAGGGTGGTGTAAGGTCAGTCAGTGATTAAAGCCTAGTTCTTTGTTTCTACAGAGTGATGGGCTGCAAGCGGGGGCATGCCACAGTGTCTTCGAGGAAGGATATAGTGTTACTGCTTGCAATGTGACGGAGGCGTGTTTACAAGAAACTCACAACTCAGAAAAACCCTTACTAACTTACATTTGCCACAAGGAAATCGTAAATTTAGAGGTTATTTATAGTCTGGCATGGGTTCAGAGCTGGAAAAATGTGGGCGTGTAAAGTTCTGAGGCTGCCAGCTACCCGGGGCCAATGTATGAGTTAGCTATTTTGAGCACAGCTTACAGTGTCAAGATGGTAGTAGTGTGTATGAATGGCTAGTGTATCCCTTATTTGGTTTCGCATGTTTTTAACTGTTTGCATTATACAAGCGACTGTAGCGTGGGTTACGAGCGAAGTTTTAACTCACAAGGCTTTGTGTCTGTCTTCTGCGAGGATCTGGTCATTCGGCTTCAGTCCAAACCTTTCAGGAAAGGGCAAGCAAACAAACATTAAGTGTGTTCTGAGCATGCAGGATGATTTAAGGGGAAACAGATGAAGCATTTAGACTTACTTGTCAAGGAAATCTTTGTCCACAACAGCTGAAATGTCGAGCAAGGGATTTCCCATCCCAAAGAGCATGTTTTCACTGTGGGGGAGACAAAAGCATATTGTGTTATGGAGACTCCCACTAACAGGCTCTGCATGAACAGGGGGAACAAACAGTCTGTTGTGATACAGAAAATCATCTGTTTGTGATTTGGTCAATTACACTGGAAGGACCCATAAAGAGCATCTCTTTATGGGAAAATTCAAGCTACAGAAACATAAGCGACTGAAAACTTTTAAGCTTATAGCAGAGTAATTAATGAATGAACTGTTTATGACTCCTGCAGATGATTATTATGCCTTTGATACCTATGTGTCATGCAAACGCTTTAAAATAAGGTTTTCTTAGACTAGAGCTACAGATTACCCATTTACCTAAAAATATGAGGTAATAAGATATCATAGTATACAAAGTATACTCCCGAGGACAGAGTATGCTTTCTGAAAGTTAGGTAACAGCTCAGAGCACAGGGAGAAATACTTGGCCTTTCAAGCTCAACATGCCTTTATCCATCTCAACAATAGGTGAGCTCAATGCTTTCAATCAACCCACTGAAAGTCTGGCAGTGATGTTAGCTCATGCTTTAAACAATAAAGTCATAAGAGCAGAAATGCTTACGGTGTAAACAGAGGAGGATAATAATCATGTGGCTCTCACCTTGGAGTTGGCATGTCAGAAACCCCTGCAGCCTAAACTGATTATTACTGAAAGGTCAACAGCTTCCTTCTTTGGTTCAAAGCAGCGTGTTCTTTGACTACAGGAACCGGAGCTGCACTTTGGCCAACCCTGACTGTTGGTGAAAGAAATAGGCGGGCCTTAGCGTCTTTTAGCCATATGATTGGCTGCTGACTCTCCAATGTTGAAAGGCCTTGGATGATGCATTCACAGGCAATGGGAACTCAGCAAAAACGGTGGACCTCTATTACAAACAGAGCACGGCCACATGCATTGTATATAAATATGTATAAATTTCAGTTATGTTTTAATGATTATAATTTAAAAAAAAAAAAAAGAACACTCGTTTTTCTAAAAATCTGAAATATTAAAGAATAGTTAGCGAAGGAAACTCTTTACTTTTTCACTTGTAACCTGTCCACAAATGGAATAAAATAAGAATAAATTAATTATTTTCCATCACACATATATCACAGGTATATTGATCCTTTAGATTCAACAATGCTTATAATTTTAGTTCCAAATAGTCTATCCTTGTGCAGAATTCTACTTAAGCCTTTGTCTCAGGAAGTCGAGTAGGTTGTCTAACTATCAGAAGGTTTGTGGATCAATTCTACAGCTACACCATAAATGTATATATTAAGACCCCGGGTTGCTCCTGATATATCTCTGTGAGTGTGTCCACAACTGTTAGATAAGCTATTAATAGGTATAGAAAAATAAATAAAATAATTAAAATAATAAAATAGCCTGTGTATGTCTTGCATACTGCCTGTTTTTAAGCACAGGATAAAAATAGACACCTTACTGAAGATAATTTGTGTAGGAACACACCTCATACACTTCCCTTCTGGTTGTATGACTGTACTTCCTGCACTATAAGCTGTTTGTTCTAATTTTTTTCTAATTTGTTGTAATTTTTTCAGTGTTGAATATTTAAAGAAAAAACAAAAAAAATCTAAATGAGGATGTTGTCCCGGATTAATATTACTGTGGTTAGGTCCTAAACCGTTGCACCATTTCATTCACATTCCAGTTTCCTTCCAAAGAGCTGAATGATGACCTTTTTTTTCCTGTCATTTGCCAAATACCTGCAAACTTTTTGGCATCAACTATGCAACAGTTTGTTTTTTCGGTGAGTGTCTTATAGAGTAGTCAGACAGCGTTAACTGCTAAGATTCAGGGTCTGAGCAGTGTTATCTATGGATTTGCTGAGCGCACGGCCTGAAAGATGAACTTCTGATGGATGAGTAGTTTGTGGTTTTGTAAACAACTGAATCCTTGTTACCATTTCTATGTTAAAAATATGACTCATGTGTGAGATGTATGTAGAAGCAGTGGAAATAACTGTTGAATGAGGAATTCTATAAATGACCCATCCAGTGAGTCTGTGAGGACTTGTGGTTAATAGGCTTCTCTCTTTTTGTTCCAAGTTAATCAAAGTTAAATATGTTTGGGCTTGTGGTTATGGTTGCACTGAGAGGTCAAATGCACTGCAAACTAAGAAAACATCAGCAAATTAAAAAAGGCTCACAAAACACAATGCATGTAATTTAGGGGAGACGATAACTTGAAGGAAACATGCATCTTCAGCACTTTATGAATCGTGTGATTAGAACACACATTACTCTTTTTCCTCTGTGCTGTTTTTCCCAATTTATTGTGCTTTGTTTTGTTTTTTTCTGCACCTATTCTGTTTTATTCTACTTCGGTTGTATTTTATTCTATTTCTGTGGTGTTTTATTTTACGTCCGTGGTGGTTTATTCTACTTCCGTTGTGTTTCAATCTACTTCCATTGTGTTTTACCTTACTTTCCTTGTATTTTATTCCTCTTGTATTGTTTTTTTAATTCTACTTTTGCTGTGTTTTTGCTGCATTCTTCTGTTTGCTCGTATTTTCTTTGTTTGCAGTGCTTTTGAGCCCTCGGGTCTACCACATCCGGTAGTCCAGCTTAAAAAAGATGGTGTGAGTTCACAGGACAAACACAACCTCTGACACAACCGCTAGAATGATGTTATTGTTAATATTGATTATTGCTCTGTGCGTGACAGAGATAATATGTGAGAAAATATGGGCCGAGAAAAAGATATTTACCCCTGGGCCAATCATAGAGATGATGCATCCTTCAGTGTGACCATTTAAAGGCATGTAACAACCTCTGCATGCCTGTGTGTTTAAATGGGTGTAAAAGCACTGGCTCGGCCCACGTGCCTCAGATAATTATGCTGACATTTAAGTTTTCCTAAGTTTCCATGAACGTAGCACGCTTCACTTCACACCGTGTTCTTTTAATGTCAACAAAACACATCAGCTGTGTGCGCTGCAATATGTTGAGCCTATACTGATATAAAAAATATAAACAAGAAAATGATAAAAAAAAAAAACATACAAACGTATCCGTTCCCTTTACATGTTTCATATTACTCAATGAAAGTTGCATTTAAAACGCTTTTGCATTTGTAGCTCCTGCCATTTTTCTTGTGTGAAAATACAGCATTAAATAGCGTCCTCTCAACTTCTTGGCTAACGTTAAAGTTTGTCCCCAGTACCTTTAATTTAAAAATACGATACTCTGCAGATTGCCCACACACGACATTTTTTATGCATGTGTGTGCTTTATTTTTTAAAGGGGCACTTCCAAGCTGGGTAAATGTAGCGGAAATTCTTGTTTTCCAGTCATGTGATGACGAACCCAGCCTTTTCCCGTTAGCTGTGCTCCGTGCTGTTATAACCGAGCATAAACGCTAACTACAGCGTACACATCCAGCTGATGTAACGTTCAAAGGTTAAGCCGCCCCAGTGCCATCACTGTGCACCTCCCGCTCTCAGTTCACCACGGCAACAGAGACATTAGCATCGATTAACAGCTAGCTGCTAGCTACACCGTACGTCGCATATGTTAACACAAATACTTTCGGGTTGTTACCTTAACGCCGTCTTCCTCCCTGTCAACATGTTCGGTCCTTCCTCGGACATTTTTTAAATCTGCTGCCGGTTGTGCCGTCGCCGTGGAGCCAGGGAAGCTGCTGCTAACTGCTGGAGACGGGATTCAGCTTCCTGCCCCTTCAGATGATGATGATGATGAAGAAATTAGTCGACAGCATGCAACGACAGAGAAAGAAAAGTAGCAAAAATAAACATAAAAATGAGGGGAGCTAGTTACGGCCCGATCGAGCAGCCACTGTGCATTTGGACAGACATGTGGAAAAAAATTGCTACCTCTCGTTATCGCTTTCCCCCCTTCCTCTGCTCCAACTACTTAACTTCAGCGTCACCGTCATTTTTGGATAGGAGACATGGCATGGATCAAAGTTAACATGCAGACAGCCACAGTAGTATACTAGCTTTGTATTGGAAATCAAAAGTGTCCAACATGGGGCCCTCGGGCCACAAGCTGGCCACCAGAGGATCCCATCCCACACAGGGTTGCTTTGCAAAATGTGGGGTAGTAGTGAAGTCATAAAATCCTCAGTGGTTTCAAATTAAAACACAGTTATGTATGTAAATGTAAAATTTCTTTTTGAGGTAGACAAATCGAGTCACAAGAACAAGAATATTGTTTACTTACTTACAAAACATACATCTGAATGTGTTTCTCTGTTACAAAGTATGAATGTGATTTTATTTTTATTTTTTTAACAAATTGTATGAATCAGTGTAACTTAGTTGAGGTGTATAGAATTCAAAGCTTGCCACTTTACTGGGCAAGCTTTGACCTTAAAGGTCTATCCATAACTTATATCAGGCTCAGATCTTTTTGCAAATGTCAAAGTGTGAGAACGTTGCTGGTGGTATTTTTTTTAAAGAGGTGGCTGTGGTTAAGGGGGTAGAGCAGGTCATCTTAAACCACAAGGTTCCTGAGTTTGCGCCTAAGTGTGAATGCTATGTTAAAAGTTCTCACACATAGAAAACAAACAGGGTATGTTGGTTTGGTTTCGTTAGCTCGGCTTGGATTTGCAGATCGATTTGTTTATTTGTTGGTGTGGCCTTACATCAAGTTGTTCTTAAGTTTTTGTGTGACTTGGGGAAGATGGATGGCTTTGGTGTTTTGTTTTGTCCCCCTTAGACAGGGCATAACAAATACCTGTGCTATAAAGGAATTATTGTGGAGTGAAAACACAGCTCAATCACACACCAAAAAGATTCTGGATTGCCACACATGACCTCTACGTTTGTTTAATTCAATAGAGTTCCATTCAGTTCAATAGATAGTAGTTTAGTAGAAAACGGATATAGTTTCCAAAAGAAAATATAAGCCATTTACAGAACAAGCTAGCTGTATATGAAGTTGTGTCATCTGTGTAAAAATGCACATCAAAGATATGGTTGGCAGAAATAGTGTTTTTTGTGTATTTGTTAAATAAAAAAAATTCAATGAAGCCTTTGTAAACTGCTGACAACCGGAAAGATAAGTACTACTAACAACCGGGATAGACTTCAGGCCCTGAAATGGTTAAGTTACACGTAAAATGAAATTATCTGCCAGTCAGTCCTTTGTGGGTTTTGCATGTTGTCCCTGTGCCTGTGTAGGGTCTTTCTGGCTTTAATCGCACAGTCCAAAGACATAGATGTTGGGTTAATTGTGGATTCTAAATTGGTCAAATGCATGAGTGTGAATAATCGTCTGTTTGTATTAGCTCTGCACTGGACTCGCAGCCTGCCTCTCACTCCATCAAAGCTGGGATAGCTTCCAGCCTATGTTATTGTGTTAACTGGGTACATGTTGGCTGTTATGTCACCCTAAAGCACAACACCTCAAAGTATCCAGCATTGTCTGAACGTTGATAGGTTTTTTTAGTGTTTAGATTATGGTCATTTTGTGTTGTGGAGATTCAAAAATGCCTTTGTGAGTTAATAAAATATAAAATGATTGATATAAAATATTTTGGTTGTAACACATTCCTAATAAAGGAAAGATAAATAATTCTAGAAGAATGAATGAAATTCAGAAAATAAATCTAACTATTGTACAGTACTTACTTGTGTGTGTGTGTGTCAGAACAACAGAAAATACAGATCAAAACACCTCCAAGTGCTATAAAATGCTTTATTACAAAATTGTGAACGATGCCTAAGCAAATCCACATTCAGGCCCATTTAACCCCAGCTACATTGCATAATTTGAAGATCTGCTAAGTTTTGCATAGAGCATAACGTGACTAAAAGTAAGTCATAAACCGGGAACATTTTAAAGAAGAATCATGTACAGCAAGTGTTTCAAGGAAATCAACACAATGACACCTGGTACAAAATGATACAAAACATCTTAAAATGAAAATTGTATCAATTGCAAATAAAGTTTATTTCCCAAGGCACATCAGTTGGCATTAGGTTCTTAAAATGAGACATTCACACCAATAGTCTTCAAATATTTTAAAGTTTCAACTACTGTAGCCCCAAGAAGTGGCCATTTAATTTTAGTGTATCAGGACATCTTTAGACAGATGTGAGAATATAAAAAGAAGATTTCACCAGCTGCAGACACTGTGCTTGTATGACTTTCCCTTGGCTACCTAAGAAGTGTGCTATTCATATATTACAAAAATGATTGTGCACAACAAAGATATGAGACGTACAATAATGTTGAGTGAAAAACAACAAAGAAAACAACAGGCTGGATGACTTTCTCTAAAGAAGGCAAAGCTTTGCTGGGAAGATTAGAGTAATAACTTTTTGGCTATTAAGCCGCATAGTGTAGCATAAGCTTGTTTATTGCATGTAATCTCAACGCAGCGTGTTAAACAAAAAGAGTTGAATGAGTCAAATGCAGGCCTAAAAGCTCTGCCGGCTCTTAAAATTCGTTTTTTTCCTTTCAGTCAGGTACATCTTAAAACTATCCCTTAAAGTCAAATAAGTATTGCTGACCAAAGAAAGACTTGAAATCGTTGCAGGATGTCTTTGGCAAAAGCAAATACAGACTGCTACAATGGCATAAGCAAAACAGTGTTTCTCTTTCAGTTGTCATAATACAGAATAGTGTAAACAGACAAAATACTGCTGAATAGATGCATGCACTCAGCGCAGGTGTATAATGTGTATAATGTACTTGTAACAACTCCCCAGGTTCATGTGCTTATTCTAGAAAGAACGAATGGATGATAACGACAATAAAATTATCAGTACAAAGATAGAAAAATGTCTAGAGATAATGTTAGATTTCAATTTAATTTACTGTGGTTTGCTAGAAGAGGCCAGAAACAATTAACCTCACATTATAGGAAATCTAACCTCTGATCAAAATATATATATTCCTGGGATTTCTCAAAATAAAAACACATTTTTACACACTTTAGAAAAAAAAAAAAAAGCTGTTCCCAGTAAGATTATAAGCCATAACTCGCATTGAAAAGTCGCACCGTTTACATTATATCAGAACAGCAACTGTTACAGACAGGACGTGGGACCAATAGAAACTCTTCCAATATTAGGATGTGGGGCACTGATATCATAACTCTGGTAAAGTATGTATCTGTCCATTCAAAGTCCTCCTGGACCGGCATGAACAATGGCCCTTCTCTTCTTTTACTGGTACCAGGGGGTCTTTCTGACCCAGTGGAGGGTGAAACCTGCATCTGTCCGGATCTTGATGGAAGCTGCCTCAGCCTCTCTGACAGTCTCCTTCACAGACTGCATCAGGTTCTGAGCATTGTGGACCAACATCTCAGTAGCCTGAAAGGAGAAATGAAAATGGACACAAATGGAGATTCGAATGATACTTTTCTCAGAGGTTAATTCAGTGAAATGGCACCCTGATGTCAAACTCTGCTCACCTGCTCTGACTCCTCTTCGCTGATGTTGGTACGACCCAACATGGTGGCCTTGACTGTCGACAGGATTTTGAGCTGAGTGCTGATAGTGGGAATGCGCTCGCACACCTTAAAGGAGATTAGAAACATTATTTATAAAAATACATCAAACTGTCTGTGCAAACTGGGAAAAAGAGGTAATGGTTGAACCACATGATGAAGACAACTTAAACTGACCTGCAGCAGGTTGGTCCGGATACGTTTGTCAGTGCACTGCTTGGCCACCTCCTTAGCCAGCCGTGTGACCTCATCAGAAGCCTTAGCGATGTCTTTGGCGCACTGGATGAGTGCACGCTTGTTTCCGCTGCCTCCACGCACCAGACGTGACATCTCCGCCATGAGAAGGGCCATTCGTTTGGCAGCGCCAATGATATCATTTCCCTACAAGGCACAGCAAGAACATAATCAAAGTTAAAAAAAAAACAAACATCTCTGCAATGCATCTTATCACTTCCTCTTGTGGTAAATTATTGATAAGCTGGTATGTCGAACTGGCAGGGAAACCTGCTTTTAGTGTTTCAAAGAAAGATCTTTAGAACGCTCATAACAAACGAATGAAATTAGAGTCATTAGAACTCCTTAGAAATTATTTTCACAACACCAGAATGTGCTTGGGCTCAGGTTAGGCTCTTATTGACCTAAATGTAAAAGGAATCAGCAAACCTCTGGTATCGTCACATCTGCTGGGTTTATAGTGTTGACCTACTTTGCTGGACCATTTGCGGGCTTCATCGTGAAGCTGCCTCGCAGCCACCATCATGGGCTCATTAACCATGTCACCAGCCTTCTGCTCAGGGAATTCCTCATCTTTCTCCTCTGGGGGAGGAGGCCTTGGGGGAGGAACCTCACCCTCTGGGAGAGGAGGTTTGGGAGGTGCTGCCTCATCGTTAAGCTAGAAGGAAACAGTAAAACAATCGTGGTTAGGCGGTTACACAAATCATTGTGAACAATCAGAGGAGCTTTAATTTATTTTCCAAATCTAAAGTTGTACTTATATGAAAACTTACATTAAGCTGATCCAGTTCAGGAGGAGGTGGAGGGAAGTCTGGTTCTTGAGGTTGGAAGGCCTCCCTGACTTTTGCCACAGCACCGAGAATCTTATAACCAGAGTCCAAAAAGCCCTTCTGAAGACCTGGCAATTAAAGCAAACACATGACCATTAATCAAAATGTGCCATATGAACATAAGACAAAACCTGTGAGAAACATAAACCTACTTGGATCCTGGATATTTCCAGCCACAGCCTTAGCATTCATCACCATAGGAGAGATCGTCTGGCTCAGTTCATCAGATGCAGCCTTCACCACCTCCCTGAATTTAGGATCCTCAGAATTTTCTACCTCTCGTTTAGCTACCAGGAGGATGCGGTTAGCTCTGCGGGCGATACTGGTAGCACCTGCGACCAGCATCTGAGGCTGGTGATTGGTCATCGCCACACGGCACTTATCCAGGTCCTTCTTTATGGCGTCCTCTGAGGCATCGAGCAGAGATTTGGTGTCGATGGCCTCGTCCACCAAACCTAGACATCCACAGGGAACCACAGGGAGTTAGACCAGGACCAGGATATGAAATGATGTTCCAGCCGTTTTCAGGGTCTTTACGGCACCTTACCTGTCATTTTTTCTACATTGTCAATCCACTGGTTCTTCATGGTTTCAAAATGTTCATATGCTGCTTGGTTGCCGGGGTTTCTCAGCAAAATGCGAGCAGCAGATACCACCTAACAGGAAGGGGGAAAAAAACATTAATTGGAAGTCTACTTACAACTGCTAAAAACTCATTTCAATTGGTGAGAAACACTTAAGATCTGTGGCTTACGGCGGAGTGGAGGGCAGACACAAACACAAACACTCAACCATAACATACTTGTGGTGTTAGGTCTCTTGTCGACTTGACGGCAGCCTGGATTCCCTCCACCGTGCTCTTGTTAGCAGTGCCAACAGCAGCAGCCTTCTCTGCTGTGGTGCCAAGCTTATTGGCGTGATTCTCAAAGTTGGCAGCTCTTTCGTCAAAGACCTACACATGATCAAATAAAAACAATTATCCAAAATGGTTTCTGGAAACAACAGAACACCCTGCCAATAAATATAATACAAATGAAAAAGAATCACTGCAGTGAGATCATAGTTAGTAGTAGAGTGAGTGTGCCGCTGACCTCATCTCTGTTGGGGGCGTTGAGCGGGGCGGTAGCGGCCACTGCCAGTAACTTGATGGGGGTAGTTGTGTCACTGAAGATGTCAGACACCTCCTGAGTCATCGCCTCTTGCATCTTTCCTTTCAGATCCTGAGATGAGGTCAGACAAATGTTACAACCAGCCAGCACTCACAGAGTTTTGCTGAGATTATAGATACACATCTGTTCTTATTTAGCTTCAGCAGCTCCATGAAGTGCATATTACAATATGATCATGGCTACAACACTATGTTACACTGTTTTTTATTCAAGTTTACATTTAAGTAAGCTTTAGGGAAATAAAAAGCTTTTAGGGCATTAGTTTCCTCCACCCCTGGTAACCAGCAGAGGGGGTTGTTTGCCTGCATTCCTGAGTGAATCCTGTCAGAGAAGCTACAGACCTGGGTGGGAATGACTGAAGAATGTGAGCCGTCTTACCTTCAGGGCTGCTTGGAGCTGTTGAGCCACAGCACGTGCTTGAGGGGAGTCCCCTTCACCGCGGGCAGCCAGGTCAGCGAGTTGGGCCATGAGCTGCTCTACCTGCTCACACTTGCCTAGCAGCTCCTGCCTGTATGGGCCCGGCAGGGCATTGGCCAGCCTGTGGCCCTCTGCAACTAGGCCACGTATGGCTGCCTGGCCTAAAAACAAAAAAAAAGTACAAATAACAACATATTTAATTTAGTTTGGCTTAGAAAAGTTATTTCTTTGTAAACCTTTGTTAACAATTCCTTTTTATAAATCCACAAGCTCTATGTTTAATTTAATAGTGCATCTACAGATAACAAAATTGACAGCTGCATAGGCAATTACCAATGTATAGCTTTGGCTATATAGATAAAAACATATCCCTGACATAGTTTATTAGATAATAAGATTCATTTTGGGTTAATTTTGGATGTTTTTTCCATTTTTCTTTTTCTAAAAATGCCCTGAAAATGTAAAAAAAAAAAAAAGTCCATCCTAATACACAAAGAAATATGCTCCAGTTGATGGTTTGGTTTGGCAAAGAATTGGAAGATTCATTTTACAATGAAAGAAGAAAAGCAAGTCAGCACATCTGAGAAGCTGGAACAAATGTGCTTTTCACATTTTCTTTTGATGAATAACAAAAGTGGTAAACCAAATATTTCACTTCCAGTTTCAGCACTAGGTAAGTGGAATGTCTGCTCATCGCAGCATTGAACTTTGTCATCTCATGCAACTAGCTGCAAAACAGCCCAGCTGCTAAAAAAAAATCAGATCAGTGTCTCTTTCTATTTCTCGTTTGCTTTTTCTCGGGAAACTACTGTAGATATTTGTGGAACAGGCACACTCCAACTTTGTTCAAAACCACGTAAGTTGTCCAGGTTTAAGTGGCCAAAACCAGGGAATAAGACAACAATGGAATGTCGAGTATGTGTATAATTTGTATACTCTGTAATTAAGCCACGGGAGCAGTGGAGTGAATATAAAGTGTGTGAGAGATAGACAGACACGAGGAAGTCTGGGGAGGATGCAAGCCAGACTCACCCACACCGCTGTCATCCACGGTGGGATTGTCAATCCAGCGCTGTGCCTGCTCGATTTTTCCTTCCAAGTGAACAGCTGCCTTTGCAGGCCTGCTGTTGGCCACAGCCTTGTTGGTTTTGGACTGCAGGTTCTGCAGAGCTGTTGCAATTTGTTTAGCCAAAGCTCTGGCTTCAGGCGTGTCACTTTTGCCCCTAGAAGGAATTAAAAACAGCAACCTAATTTATCACAAAATTATGGCTGGAATGAGGTCTGTATCGCTATTAAATCTGGAGTTCACCTACAAATATGGTCAAATGAGAACTTTTTACTTAAAACAATCGCAGGTGCAGCCCATCATCCATATGTACAATGCTGAATATGAACAGCTCCAAACTGTCAAATTATAGTATGAAATTGGTAGCTGACAACCGTGACTGTACACATTTCTCATTTTTTCCTGCATACATAAAAAGAAACACCAATACCGTTTCCTCGCAACGAAAAGTAAACAGCAGGGATTTGATGATGATGACAGTAGCAAATGATTTAAGGGGTGAAAAAAGCATCTGAACAACTGTAGTAAAGTGTGAACGCACACCAGTTGGATTAGGGAGACACAGAGCCATCAATCTCACGCTTCACGTGTGGAAAAACAAAACCAGCATAAAGCTGTCCCATTTTTCAGGCGGTCTTTAACTTACTGTCTTCTAAGATCAGACAGCTTGGCAGTCATGGCAGCGATCTCTCCAACAGAGCGCATGATGTCATCTCTTTCTTTGGGGTCTTCGCACATGTCAGCAATCTTTCTGGCCTCCATGAGCACCGCCTTGACATTCTCCTCTCCCTCTGTTCCACTGTTAGGGTCTGCAAGCCAATTCTGCAACAAGACAAAACACATGCACGCAAAATAATCAAAACCATCAAATTGCACTGAACTGTCTGAAGCCATGTTTTCTGCGCTAACGACTCACCTGCGCAGCATCGATCCTTTTGGCGATGGCCTGCTTGGAGTTGGTCATGGCCTCCAGTTTCCGTGCAGCATTTTCCACCTTGCCTGTGAGCACATCGAGACCTTGGGAAACCTGCTGTGCCTTTTGCATGGCAACCGGGGATGCTCCATGACCTCTGAGATGGACAAAGAAAACACCCAGATTCCATTAAGTGCACATTTGCACTTCTTTTGATCTACTTGTTTGTTTTTTAATGCAGAGCTTAATCCATATGGCCCACTTGGTTAAGTAAAACTTCCGCACTTAATGTCGTAATGTCTGATTTATAGACTCATCTCTGTTTTCGTAGAGGTAACAGCACCAGAGGTTAAAAGTGGATTATGGATTAATACCAGACAGCTGCTTTTAATCTAGTGTGACTCAGGGTCTCTGGTGACAATAACATTTCTTATCAGGTCTTATCACTCCCACTTCTGTACACTATAATCCCCTTTAATATGCTTACTGCATTACAACCTTTATCCTTTGAGGACTGAAAATGAAACAACTGTATCAAAGGAGCACATTGCTAAAACACCAAATCAACACATGAAATGTACAATAGCAGAAATCAAGACTACTTGAAGAAAGGTGCAAGGATGGACAATTATTTTGCAACAGCTGCAACACAAAAATGCAAAGCAGTGTTGTTAATGTGCACTTTACCTGGCTCTCATCTCAGACACCTGGTCTGTCATTTGACTCAGTGTCTTCGCTGTGCCAACTATATCTCTGCGCTCCTTCCCTGCACAAAGTTCACCAACTTTTCCGGCCTCATCAAGAATCTGCCGGATGGCCTGCTCACCTGCGTCTCCTAGAAAAAGGAAAAACACAAATAAATGAACTCAGAAATACCAAATACATCTCTAAATTCACTTAGGCCACGCATAAGGATAAGGATGTGATTAGCTACAGAATGAAGGGATTAACGTAGAGGAAACTAAGGATTATTACCTGGTTGAGCATTTGGATCCCTCAGCCAGTTCTTAGCCTGAGCCATCTTTGAATCGATTAGCCCAAGAGCCCTCTTCATAGCCTCTGTGTCCTTTGAGTTTTGAAAGAAAGGAATATATCAATATACTAAAAAGACTAAAATGACTGCCTCACTGTTATATGCTTGCAGCAACCAGTCAAGTTGGAGTTTACATCCATATCTGTGACTTATCAACTGTTGACAGTTTAAAAAAAGATGCCGATTTTGTCAGAGCAATAAATATAGATGCTACAACAAAGAAACATCACATTTTGACGGATGAATGATACACACAAACACACATATATTCAAACCAGCAGCACAAATCATCATAGTTTCAAGGCATCTTCATTAGATCAGTGTCACCAAGTCACTAACCAACCAACTGTAAAACATGATGACAATCCTCCTTTCAGCTCCTGAGTTATGGAGATGAATAACAATAAACAATTGTGCTGTTTTTGCAGAACAACATGCTTAATCTTTGCCCTTTATGATATGAAACAACATCATTTCATTTTATTCTACAGACATTTTGTGGACTTTTGTACTACTGGCGTCTGACTAATTATGTGAAAGACATAATGTCAACATATGACATCCAGTGATGACCAAAACTTTATCAGATTCTCTTGAGTCTCCAGTTCTCAATGCCGTGCCAACATATCGAACAGACCGAACAGCTGGACAACCAGAGAACATAATTCATTTGGTCGTGGCTGTCTCAGGCATTACAATCTGCACGAGGAGTTCATGAATCATTTTACTCTTATTGCAGAATCTCCATATAAAACATTACTGTCTAGAGTCACTTTATTTTAACAGTTAATCTATTTTTCTATAAATACTAATGTTTATGTGAATCAAATTGAATTCAGTTGAATTCAGTTTCTACAAAAGCAGCTATCTCAAGGCAACTAAATGTAACTTCAGTTTAAAAATCAAGTGATCTGGAAGCTCGGACTTCTCACTGAGTCAGTGACTTCAGGGAAAATTTCCAGGCCCTGTCACCGTCATGATCAACTGTTAGTTATTTGAGTTAAATAAACATTTGGCATAATCCACATGCAGCATCGTTAAAATGTGTCACGCTCAGCCACGTAAAAACATGCCGTTTCCATTATTCTTTCCCTTTGTCGACAAAGGGTGTGCGTTTTTATAAAGCCGAGGGATTTTCCATTGTATCTCCGTCCGAGTGGATGGAAATACAACAATCTATCCAACAGCAACTGACTCAACAATGAGCCTTCTCTTTGCAGAAGTCTGCAAATCAAAGCAGAGTCCTGCAGGAGCTTGAGCCAAGCGTGAGACCAGATCAGATGAGTGTTTGAGTTAACTTGTTTTTCAGGGTAAAATATCCTGCTGTATGAAGACTGACTACAGAGTTCAGTAAAGAGTTTCAAAGCAAATCAAACCACATAGGCAGAACCAACCTCCATGATTAAAAAATAAATAAAATAAAATGTAATTTTAAATGTTTAAGCTAGTCAAAACCAACTAGATGAAAACCATGCATGTGATTCAATGTGACTAAAAATGGAAAGAGAAAAAACAGGTACAGTCTACACAAGCAAAAAGGTGTGAAGTGATGATACCGGAGATGTGTGGGTGTATTACTTTATTGTTCAAATATGCTCAGCATGCAGCTGCTTTGGCATTAACTGACTATGTGTGTGTCTGTGCGTGTGTATGAGTACAAAAAGCCAGTGAAGTAAAGTGAAAGAGATATGCTTTGCAAACATGCATTCATTTAAGCTTATATTTAGAAATTAGATGGGGTATGATTAACGCCATTGATTATGTTGATGATGTTAAATGACAACGGATATTTAGTGTTCATGAAAATAAAAAAAACATTGAGAAAATGTGGTTATGCATGTTGGATTAAACAAACAATTAGCCATTCATAAAACAAAATCCATATCAGAGTTTCTATGTGCTCTCCTCCATCAGGAGAAACCTGATGTTCATGGCAAGAAGAGATGAACACTCAGAGTCCTCCCTAATGATGCCAAAATCAATACTGCATGAGTCAGGTCAATCAATAACCCAAGCAGCTGAAGACAAGGCTATAGTGAGGTTTAAAGGACAGAGGAGGGGGGACACACAGATGTTGATACAAAGTCTTACTGCAAGGCAAACAAAATCCCAAAAAAGGCAGACATTTCTGCACTTCAACCTGCTTTACTCTTCATCAACAAAACTCCAGTCTATAGTAGATAATAGTAATTGAATTTATTAATTAATAGTAAATTTAACCTTCTAACAGTCTCGCTACTGAAAAGCACACAGAGGCACTACAAAGCACAAAAAGCCCACTCATCTCTCATAAGCATGCTGCTGTACAACCAAAGGGCGACACAGGCAAGCCTTACCTTCTACAGGGGGTGAAGGGAGAAAGAAATGGTAAAAAGAAAGGAAGAGGGACATAAATTCAAATGTTCAACTAGACATACTGACTGAGAACCACAACAGAAAATAGACAGAAGTGACACAGGAAGGAGATTTTAGAGAGACCCTGGGATAGGAAAGGAGCTGCACATGCAGAGCTGAAAAACATAAAAGAACCTAACACATTAACCGACTATACAAGAAAGAGAGAGGAGAAGTTAAGGCATGTGTACTTTGTTTCTAATTGTAATGAAAAAATCTCATTCACACCTGTCAAAACTGATACAGTCTCATCGTGATGAAACAAAGCACTTGTTACTAAAAGGGGGGAAAAAATACAGCTGAGAGTTACCATCACTTTATGAACTTTCCAGTTCATTGCTGATCTTCTATGAGTACATGGAAGCAATATGGGTGCTGTCTTTGTTTTCCCAAAGCACACAAAAAACCAGGTTTAAACACAGCAGCTCAAACAGCCACACAGACTGTAGCTACTCGTGTATATTTACTGTGTAAAAGCGACTCTGTGGAGTTTCATACTCATATAATTATACCGTACGAACCTTGTTTGCCCAAGCATCCTCGTCCCAGGAAGTCAGCTGCAGCACTCGGATGATCTCGTTTATCTCGGCACTCATCTTCTCAAAAGTGAAGTTACGATTCTTCAAGGCCTCCTCCACTCCGTGGCTTTCAGAGGTCTTGGTTGTCACATAAATTTTGATGCCTTAAATACAAAACGGAACTTGCGATAAGAAATCGGATAATCCGAATAAAAATGGCTTCCCTTTTAAAGAAACACTGACTTGTGTAACAGTTATAAAGAACAAGAGTACCTGAAATGAGGATGGGCAGCAGCTCTTTGACAGTGTTCATAGAGTTGACGAGCATCACGCGATGCTCCTGATGCGTGAGCTCCTGCTGCCGCTCATCTATCATCTTTGCCATCTTCGTCATACCTGGAAAAAGGCAACAAAACAGAGTTGGAAAAATAACTATTTTGCACTGGTATCACAACTGACACTTACACTAGAATGATTACACAGCAAAAACAACTTCTGAATCTGTCAACTAACACAGCAAAATGTTATTTTTACACGCTGTCTAGTTAAGACTTCGGCTAAGTAAGCTTGTACTGGAAGACCGACCTGGTCCCAGGTTCTTTGTATATGTGATCAGGTCCTCCATAGACTCCACCACCTCTGCCACAGCCAAATACTCCAGGATGCCTCTGCACACACGGATTATTCTGCGAACCTATGAGAACAGTAAGAAAAAAAAAGAAAACAACTACTTAATCTAATTCAAAGACAAATAAAACAAGTGATCATGCAAACACACGTTCACACACCCCTTTCACATTCCCTCTAATTACACTCTGATAACACGGCCAACTGACATTCCAACTTCTTTGTGCTGCTTCACTCCAGCTTTATGTGAACTGCTGGAGTCACCACTACACTATGCAGGGTGATCCCTGAGCTCTACCGGAAAACATGATTGCAGTGCTGACGGATGACTCCTGCTGACTGCTGCAGACAGGACTGGGATGCCTGATGTCTGCATCCAGAGTGCTGACCTGCAACTTTTTTCATTTCACTCTCTGTCCCTGAGAGGAAAAGATAGATGGGCATGACAGATGATATTCCCGTCTGATTTGAGATATAAGAAGTGTTTCTGTACACGTACAGTATATTTATCTACGTCTCTGCCTATAGTACCCAAGAGGAAGGCCGGAATAGATACTATCCTTACAGCAGAGAAGCCTGTGACAGCAATCCTCTGAACGTCTAAACAGTCAATTAATAAGTCGGTGAAGCCCTTCCAAATCAACCGCTGAGCACAAGAACGGGAGTAGAAGGTCACTAAACCACCATCAAAAGTATGAAATGAATCTGGTGCTGTAAAACGTATATCTAGCAGTGTCACCTTATCAGTATTTTGTTGCCGTAACATAACTGATGTTCTGACCTCCAGCAGATTTATTTTGGTTAACAGGTTTTCCATGTAAAATGAAATGAATGAATGAATGAATGAATACCTCAGCCTCATCAAAGGTGAGGAGCAGGTCAGAGGTCCCAGACAGGATGCCCCGAGAGCCATCGATCAGGTAATCCCGAGCAGGAACAGAGTATGGATCAGCTTTCAGCATGGATGCAGCCTGTACCAGTTTAGCACACGCATTCTCCACTCTGTGGAAAGAAGACAATCCATTTCAAGAGCCTGTAGAAAAATGCTTAACACGAGTCATGCTCAGGGTACAAAGCCAAGTGACATTACAAGTAGAAACAACATAAAGCAAAGACAGATGGAAGCCTTAGCATGTAGCCATAACATATAGTAACTGCAATGTAAACATAACTTTGTTTCATTTCCTCTTTAGTATATACTTTTTTTTTAAAGAAAAAAAAAAAATCACACCTTGTGCAGTAAAGTTAATGAAGCGTGAATCCTTTTCACACCATCTTCCATAAAGTGCATATCAAGAACATCGCAGTTCTCGCTACACGTGTGGCAAACCACAATTCTTCAGATATTTATTTACATATGGACTCAAATGAAGTGATCCTCATAAGATTTTACTCTAATTGTTGCTAGTTGCAATCAAATGTAACCAAAACACAAAACAAATACAGTCCTGTGCACAAATCTCAAGCCATCAAGAAATAGGAAGTGTTCTTAAGAAATAGGAAAAGACCTGACACAGGAACTGACAAATGCATCTGACTGTTCAGTTAATCCATCTACTAATTACTGAATGTTCATCAGAAATGAACTCAATGGAAGGTTGGCAAATTATAGAAGAACTAAACTGAAAAATGGAATGATGAATTCAAATTTGAACATTTTGCTTCAAATCACTGTCAATTTGTACAGTTTAGGTCAGGAGAGAGGTACAGTGAATGTCTACAGCCATCTCGACGACACAATGGTGACACGTTGGAGGCGGTATCATGGTTTGAAGCTAGAATTCAGCCAGTGGTGTTGGGGACTTTGTCAAAACTATAGGAATTAAGAACAGGGAAAAGTACCATCAGATTTTCATCCATCGTGTGATACCATTTGGAAAGCATCTGTTTGGCAACAGCTTCATTTTGCAGCATGACAATGATCATAAACATACTGCCCTTACATGGGGTTTTTCCATTTGTGTTTGTGCATTTGAGTAAATAATTGTCAACCGTTTTAAATTTTTCCTAGCAAAATACAAAGAAATAATGGGTGGGTCAAGACGTCGGCAGAGTACTGTAAATATTTCCACTCAAACGAATTCTTAACTGAAAAATGTGATGGCAGAATTTCTCTGGTAAGGAGCCCACACAAACAGCTAATAACAGTATCGTCAGCTTCCTCTATTTGCTCGCAGAAAATAGAAGTGTGTGAAGTTGGCAGTCTGTTAACCAAAAATGGTCACGTCATACTCTAGCTGAGCATACGCAGTCATTTCTTATTATATACCCTAACCAAACTTTGTTATTTAGTAAGGAAGTTATAAATACGCAAACTAATTTCTTCAGAATAAAAAGTTTAAAGGTCCTTTCACTTTATCTTTTTAAAATGATCTGGGGGTTTTCTCTATTTTGAAAACTTCAATGATCTCAGAAATACATTTATGTGATTTTAAAATCTATTTTAAATCATTTAAAAGTTTTGTTTGGAAAACGTTAAAGCACAAAATTAAGGAGTTACTGTTTGCTGAATGTCCTTTTATTCCTCGAAGAAAGGCTGTAAAAAAACTGCCTAATTAATTGACCTTGAGTGGTGGTCTTTAATGAAAGACCATAAAAGAAATGGGTAAAATTTGGTCTCATGAGCAGAGTCTAAGTAATCAAGTCTGGGCCTGGTTAAAAGCTAAAGCAATGTCATGTGTCGTACTGATTATGAGGCAAATCTGTGATAGTGGCTACATAAACAAAAATGGCCTGACTGAAATATTCATTCTGTAAACAATCTTTTGATACAGAAGTTATCTTGCTTTCACAGGACGTGATACGAGATCCAAGAGGTGGGGTTCCCCTCTGAACCCCACCTCTCGAGTCTGGCCTCGGTCCAATTTAACCCCTGCTTTACAGAAATGTAATGATCAATAGCTGCCTCCTGGGTGTGGTGTACTCTGTGACTTGTAAAGCAGTAAAAAAAGAAAAAAAAAATGCAGGCTCAGCCATTTGATTCATTGTCGTACATGCCAACTGCAAAATATCTCAGCCATTTTGCACATTGAAACAGGCAGTAAGCCAAGGAACAACACGTTTCAGTTCCCACGGTATACTGACTTCCTACATTTGCCTACAGGCTAAAGGGTTCACCGGTAACAAGGAAACATTACTGCTATAGACTAAAGGGGCCAAGCAAGAGACAGTCGGTTAATCAAGTCTTGTGTAAGATAAAGGCTAATATATGTGCATGGCATCAAGGTTGACATGAATGTGTGTGTCTTTGCAGAGCCAGCCAGCACTGTCCTTCAGCGTGCACCAGAAAGAAAAGAGACATGCATTAACTGGATCCCAGCAGACACTATATTTAGTGAAGGAGACACATTCCAGCGCATGTGCTGATGGATGACGACAAGGTGACGATGTGACTTTGAGGCGCCAAATGTGTTGAGCCTGACGACCTGTGCTTGCCAATGCTTTTCCCTGACCTTGGGGTGGCCCATAGGACACCCTTTCCCCCCTCGCTGACTGCAGTTTCTCATATAATAAGGATCAGTCAAAAACTGTGATCGAGACAGGCAGCAGATAAGCACAAACTAATGACTTAAGCAATGTCAAGCAAGCCAGGGGAACAAATACACTGATTAAATGGGGACATCTCTTTTCTATGTCAATATCTACATTTTTTCTGTAAACAAAAAGCAGCAGCCAGCGACTCTCATGAGGCCCCACTTCTTAAAGGGTAAAGGAACTCCTCCCAGATCTAAAAAGTATTTCTGTTACACCATGGCAAGACTGAGGCACTTAACATGCCATGTCTGACCTTTGCCTGGGCACAACCGGCCATTACTGCAACAGATAAAGAGAGAAAGAGATCCAAAGGGAAGCTGATGGGTTCCACATACTGAAAGAGACATTTAATCCAAGAATTTGAGATGTTTGAGATGAATTTGAGGCATTTACTTACTTGATAAAAGCTGGTGGCATGTCCCTTTTCATGAGCTGGTCTTCTGTGGTTTGTACAGTTTCCTTTCCCACCTGGAAAACACAAATGCACAAATGAGTAAACATTAGACACTCATAATGTAAAGAAACATGACATTTAAAGTAAACACAGTGTGTGCAATAGCGCACCAAGCTGACCGTGATGGGAAGTGTTTGGGAACATACTGGACATTTCTGGCATGTCCAACTTTAGAAACTGAAAAAAAAAAAATCCCAGCAATTTTTCACTAATCAATCAACTGCTGACAATAAAATAGATCCATCTGGGTTTTAGTGATATTAAAGGTCAGCACAATAAAATCAACAAAGTGTTATTTGATTGTTTATCCTACATGTTGGGAAAAGAGGTGTGCAAGCCTAAGTTACCTATTAAATAATGCATGCAGACTTTCTCCTCTGCAAATGTTTTACTTGCCAGGTACTCTGTGGCAAATAAATAATACAGGAATATATTCATCTGCCTTGTGCCTCAGTGTGGTGGCACATGTCTCAGTTTTCATGAGAGACAGATTTAGGAAAAGTGAAGTCAAAGTGTGGTTATTCTACTGGATTGTGTCTATGGGGTTCTCTGATTCCATCACACCTACTATTCTCACAAATTAGCACAATTCAAGAATAATAATCTAGATAATAACCATAAATAATAGCAAGGATACTACAAACCATTTAGTTACAAAAAAAAAAAAAGGCAAATTGATTTACTTGCCTAATAGATGATACATATACTCTTATCTTGCTTTTGTTATTTATGTACCTGCTGTTCACAGGTCTTATTATTTGTAGAAAGTCTTTCACCTCTTCACAATATTCCCACAGCTTTTAGCCTGTGCAAAAGTAGTCTGACTCAACAGATAAATACTGGCCAGTGATATCACCAGATGGCATTAAAAGCAACTGTGACACATTCACTGCAGCCACAAACTTTTCTGGGGCCTACAGGTCATTGGCCAATCTTTAACCTGACAGCTCCTGTCAGATTGCGCCAAAGTGTGAATAGCGCAGTCCAGTACATTTAACACAAGTGAGTGGGCGTGTTCACTATCCATGCTGCTCCCTCATGAAGCGAAATGTTTCCAGGTTTGGAAAACCTGTCTGACACAGAGTATTTAGGCAGATATTTTATGATATGATGGTCCCAAAGCTCACAACCAAAAATCCCAATAACAATTTCCCATTTAACCAGAAGGTGTTATGTATTCTTTCTCTGTAAATTAAAAGCCAGTTAGCCATTATATTTACAAACTGTTAAAGATAGCACCAGTAATAAAACAGCAGACACGAGACACACCCAACACCCAAGCTTCAACTCTGACTAGTTCATCAGTCATGAGGATTTCTGTGAGTCAAAGCTTAAAGCCCCTGTACAAAATTTAAACAGGGTGGACACAGTCTATTCCAAAGCTTTTATGCAATGTGACCTCAGTACATACATCAACTGAATGTTATATGCATGAGTAAAAACTTTGTAACCACAACTTTCCTCCTTAGAGAGTCTTGCTGTTAATCAGGCAGTTTTTCAGAATGATGTCCTGTTAGTTGTGTAGCGAAGCATTATTTCAACAAGGCAGCTGCTGGGGGATGCCAGGCCTTGGTACAATTATAATGTGCAAAGCAGCTGAACGCCTCCTTGCAGCTGGCCATCCAATGCCAAAATGACTCACCTCCCCCAACCATGACCTCAGCTCTGCGGGGAGGCACAACTCACCCACGTTGAGCCGCCATGGGTGAGAGATCATAGGCATTCATCCTTACGGAGCATACTGACCAGTTTAAATGAGATGCGTTGCTGTACAAACCTTTCCTTTCACATTAATATTGCACTACAAATCAGTTGAATAGTAAAAGTGTTGCAGAGTGCTAGATTATGTGTGACGGTGTGATTTCCTGACTGTCACACAATTTACTCTTACAAAGCATTTCCAACGTGTTTCAATGTCCTGAACTCTTTTGTACCCGCTAGGCAACACACCAGGAATCAAAATTTCTTCTAAGTTCTTTAGTTACGTTTGCGGAAATATATCTGAATTTTGGACAAGACAAAACTATTTAGAGATGTCTAATTAGGGCATGGGAAATAATGAATCCAAATCCTGGCACAACTTTCAAAGTGTTTTTTAATCTCTTGGAAGTTCCTTTAAAACAGTGACTTCTGCTTTTGCTTTTCTTATTCATGATGCATTCCTGATGCTACAGTAAGCAATCCCAGTGAGCTTGTCAGTGTGTCTGTATACAGCCACTAGAAGAGCCATTCCAGATGGTTGACGTGGAGGCAGTAATGGAGCAGAGCACACATGCATCTCCTCGCGCTGTGCTTACTGGACCTGAGGGACTCTGAGTAACTGTGGGGTTATAAATTAGGAGCAAAGGTTGTGCCAAACCAAAACTAAAGCTCAGCCGGGGAGGCCGGAGTGGCAGGGAGCATACGCCACCCTGACATTCCTCCAAAGAGGCTCTGGAAAAAAAAGCCAGCAACAACTGATGTTGGGATATTTTTAGTATTTAAACTACTTACTCAGTGCATCCGAGTGCATTTCCTTTTTCCAGTCTTATCTTGCTTTAAAGCTTTGTCATACTTCTACTGATCCACCTGCAAAAAGTATTTTGCACAGTTGCAGTAAACTAGAATGATGAAAATAATGTAGCTTCCTCATGGTTTCAGCAGCTACTTGATTAAATTATTTGCTTATCAGCCCTAACAGGAACAAAACATAGGAATGCTGAAGGTCTTTTATCAACAGCTATATGAGATTATTTGCATATATGGTCTACTATTTATAGATTACTTTCACTCCTTTATATCAGTGTGCTTCGAGTACTTGTTAGGTGGGTTAGGTAAATAAATCTATTATGTCAAGGGGGCTCAAGCAGCTCATGAACGACTTTCCAAGGTAAGGGTGATTGTGTAAGCTCTTCACAGAACTGTTAAAACAACACTGCTATTTATTGAAGCTCAAGTCAAGTTTAGACATGATCTGAAACTGAGCATTCATTTAACAAGAGCTGAGTCATATTGACCCCGAAGCGTTGCACAGGAGTCTCTGAAACTGAGCAAATTTAAATTTCTTGATACTGTCACTGTCTTCCTTTCCTTCCTCCCTTGTCGTGCCTCTTCCTGTTGTGTGAAGTTCAAAAATTGTTTTGCACCAGCGATCCAAACAATTTGATGTAAAAATAGAACTGTAACCAAAGTTTGCAACGCTTGTTGTCGAGCAGTTTGTGATGCCTGGCCTCTTTTACTATTTTGAGCCTCTGTCGTGATTTTGGACCACATTCCTGTGACGGCAGCAAAGCCCTAGTTTGACATTAGGGTTACAGCTTGTGATTATTTATCTCTTGATTTGTCTCCTGGGGTCTTTTGTTGGCCTAAGAGATTAATAGTTTCTTCTGTAAAACAATAGAAGATAATGTCCTTCACTAGTTACCAAAGCCAAGAATGGCCTGTAATTACAAGTCTTGTCCGACAGCAACAAAAGTTGAAATGCAAGGATATTTAATGTATAACAAATCAAACTTAATATAAAGAATAATACTAAACTGAGACCCCTGAAGCCTATACTTTGTATTTCTTTTTTCCAGATTACTTTTCTGTCAATTTTATGGTATTTCCCCCCCATTTAATTATTGATATCAAGACTTGGGGAAACAATGACATGAGGATGTCCGGTCACCAGTCATTAGTAATTAAAGCTATGACAGCCAACCCAAACCACAATAAAAATCCTCTATTTCTTGAATAGAATCTAGCAAAACAATTTAAAGAAGCACAGCTGTTCCCTCCCAGCATCTTTTTAAAGCCTTCCACAGATTTAGTGTCATCTTCTTCCAAGCTGCCATTACAACACTTTTAGCTGTGTGTCCCATTTGAGCCTAGAGTGGAAACACTGGCACTCCTGTGTTGTGAAGTAGCTTGATAAAGTGGCTGCTCCTTTAGCACAGACTCTGCATTGTTGACAGGAGCCCATCACTCTTTCTCGAGAAGAAAGGCGACTCTGAAAGCCTCCAGACTGCCAAGACACAGCCTGCCTTTCTCATGTCGGGCAGTTTTAACACAATACTGCGTTAGTCATGGGGACCTCAAAGATGTATGACTGCAAAATTCCTACAAGCAGTGCTACCACTAACCCTTAACACCATATAAGAAAATAAACTACACTTGTATTTCTCAGAGAGAAAGACGCCGATTTCCACAGTAAGTGTCTCTGAACTGCAATCTGATGCCAAAGCACTCCATTAGCTACCTTTGATCAATAGTCTCAAACCAGGAAGTGCTGCTTTTTAACATATCAAATGGCTTTTGACTAATAATGATTCAGAAGGGCAGCAGAAACATTGTGCTTATGGCATTATCACACATCTTCCAAGCGGTGTCCAACATGTTTGTTTGTTTGTTCTTATTTGGATCAGTAAACACTTATGCACGGTGTGTCCAAATCCTATCATCTGCTTGAAAGTCACAAATCAATTGTTCTGCTAGGAGAGGCAAAACAGGCTCTGTGGCTAGAGAAATACATCACAACTACTATTTCACAATGCAGGAACTTTGCAGCTCACAGCCTTACTGGGGAACAGCATTCATACTCATTGTCCTTATCTTAAAAAGAAGAGTGAGTCAATAAAAAGCATGTTGCATGTGTTCACTTCCACAGAACACGGACAGCTAAAACAACACATTTAACAGATAACTTTTAAGTGCTAGAGAGGAAGCCTCAACTTCACATTTGGCCAACCAATGACGTGGTTCCATATAAAACCTATTTGTCACTATCTGATTGATATAACTATTTCCATGAAATGTAGGACTGTAACTTTACTTTATATTCCATTAAACTAGACTACAGCTCAGCTTGTTTAGCAGAAAATGAGGGGGAAACTATTCTAAAAAGACAGTCTAAAAAGGGAGCTGATGTTTTTGTTCACGTTTACATGAAAAGAATATTAATTTTCAGTTAAAATACAGACTACACTGGTGTAAAAACGCAAACTGTTGAGCTTGAAAGAGTCAAAGACTTTAAATATCCATGAATCTGTTAAAG